GGTTAATTCTGCGACTTGCCCTGTAAATCCGCAATCATCACATCCTGAACGTTGCGATCACGGCGTTGGGCTTCCTTATTCGGAACCTGCTCACGACGACCACGACCACGACCTCCAGCCATTGAAACTTGTGAAATTTCCCAAGAAGATGTTGAAGCTCTGATACCAACTGACGCTAGATAGAATAGTGATTATCCTGCAAGCACTCCAACAGATGATTCATAAGAGAAAATTCGCCCAAAAAAAATCCAGAGAAAAAAGTCTCTAGGGTTTAATAAAATATTATCAAATCAAACAATGCCAAAATCAGTCCACAAGCCGGACTGTTATAGCCAAAAATCGTCTTTATTCGAATTTTGCCAAAAATAGCAAAATCCCGAAAATCACTCTAAATTGAAATTCGAAATAAAATAAGCAATCTTCAAAAAATCCGGCCTAAATCGGATTTAAATTAACTTCCTAATTGACAATCGAAATATTACCATAAATAGTAAAAAATATCTAATTCTAGTGATTCGGAGGGGAAAACGGCAGAATTTGAGGTTGAAAAAAAGGCCACATGGAGCATAGCTCATGTGGAGAGCGTACGCGTCGAAAAGAGCTTTCCGGATTGGGGTCTTATGCGCGATTCTGACACCTGTAGCCAAAGTTATGGCCAAAAGACTGAAACATACTCAAAACGACCCCAATGAGGAATATGTCACAATCAATTCCCGCCTTTGCGCTGATCTGCCAATTCATGGTATCTCAGCGCCATCAAGGTGCAATCTGACAGCTTAGTATCATCTGTCTCGGATCCCCCTACATCACCTAGGTTATCACCATCTTTTTTCTTACCCACCTATATGAACTAGTTTTTTTTATGACTGATACAATTCAAGCACTCGAGGTTTCGAGTACACATATACAAAGCTCTATTACCATGGTTCTCCAAAGCCTAGACACCCCTAAAACCCAGAGAAGCAACAGTTCTTCTCTAAGGTAATTCTGGCTTTCAGATGCTAAATGATTTCAAAAGTGTTATTTGATTAAGCTTCCCCTATACCTGCTTCAGTTTCATCCAAGCTATGAGCATACTCATGCAGCATGTAGTCACAAAGCTCCAAAAGCTTATCAGCGAGAGGAGGAATACCAGGATTACGACCATCATTATAGATATGAGCATTGTAGGCAATCTGCCACACATCATGTCTAAAGTCTTCTCGATCTTTGTATTCCATCCTCCTAACCTTGTCCCTTATTATGGACAAATCCATTGGGTGCTTTACAATGTTCAGGTAGTCAGGAGCCTCCTTCTTGGACACTGATTTTAAGAACAGAAACGACACCTCGGTATTATCTCTAAGTGTTTCTACAATCCGCTCTAAGATGTTGGCCAGACCAACCTGGAGAGCAATAAATTGAAGAATACAATTAAGCAGGGAACTTAATGGATTAATAGTAATATGAAAGGCATATTAAGATTTACTAGCATATTTACATGCACCAAACCAACTTAAAAATTATTTAGTTATCTCATTACATAATCATACTCCATAGCTTTCTCACTCCATATTCCTTTTTTCTTAGATGAGTAAAATTTCACAGGGCACATCTCATCAGAATATTTATCATGAAAGAGTTCAATCATCAAAAAATCACATGCAAGCATGCAACCAGGCAGCTATGCTTGCTCATCTTGTTACAAACATAACATACAGAAAATTCACAGAAATTGCAGATTACTTTTCAAATGCGCACATAAATTTCTTTAACCCTCTTTTGTTCTCAATAATAAAGATTTACAGTCATTGAAAAATGTAAATATCTCCTTAGCGTCCATTCAAACATGAAAACAAACTTGCATCCTCACCTTCTAAACTATCAATTTTTATGCTTATTATGGTTCAATCAAGTTAAGCTGAAATCTATTACAACAATTTATAGTTTCTTCTTTTCAAATAAAATATTCCAATACATTTTTTCATAATAACTTAATTTAAAAATACACTTGAACATATAAATAAACGAACACTATGATGATATTTTGGGCTCTGATCATCTGTGCATTATAATAATAGAATTGCGATTATAAAGATATTAATACAACTATATTATCAATTTAATAATTTATAGTCTATTATATTTTATGCACATACTATAAGAAAATAACAATGAGAATTTAATCTTAAGCAATTAACTAACGGCAGCCTTAAAGAACAAAACTTCAATATTAATTCCCCTAGATCAACATCTAATGAGCCTAAACTCAATTTCAATGATCCCAGCAGAGTTGACAAGTACTATCATGAGTTGTAAAGGAGAAAAAGAAATTAAAAGATGAACCAGGACAAACGAAAGCAATGAAGGAAAAATGTCATTACCTCTCCCCTCTGCGTCGCTTTGTTGGAGGAACACACTCTGCAGAATATCGTCCAAACTCAACAGGTTTCCTTTTTGCACCTCGATATCTTTCCACCACCCTTTGTAGTAAATAGAATACTAGGTGAACTCAGGCATTACACTAGAAGCATATATATATGGATGCAGATTAAGCACAGGTCCTTAGTCAACAAAAAATCAACATTTGGGTATTGTACAATCCTAGGTGGAAATCTTATAACCTGAAGAAGAAGCAAAATGTAGTAACAAGATCGAGCGTCGAATTAGAATTTAGATCATTGACTTTGTGAATATATGAGTTACTCTTGATAAAGATGATCCTAAATGACTTAAGAATAAAGTGGGAAGGACCCATGAGACTTTATTGTCATAATAAGTCAGCTATCAATATTGCTCACAATCCTGTTCAACATGATTGAACAAAGCATATTGAAGTTGAAAGATTTCATTAAGGAAAAATTGAACAGTGGTCTAATTTGCACTCCATTCACCTCTATCAAGGATCAATTGGTAGATGTGTTCACAAAATGCCTAATAAGCAAGGTTTTTCCAGAAATTTTGAACAAGCAAGGAATGAAAAATATTCACTCACCAGCTTGATGGAGTGTGTCAGAAACATCAATGTAGTAGTAGTAATCTAATTTATTTAAAAGTATTTTAGGACAAGAAAAAAGAGTACTAGGAGTATTTATAATCTAGATAGAAGTTCATATTTGATAGAAAATTCTCATTAGATGTTGGCAACCCAAGCTATTTAAACACTTGTAATATCCTACTTCAATTATCATATTTTTTGTTCTTGCGTTAACTCCATTATTTTTTTTTTCTCTCTCGGTTTATTCTCATTATTTTTTCCTTCTCTATTGTTCTATTCTCTTAGATTTCAACACAAAGAATAGTGAACTAGTTGAGGGAACACACATACTAGTAGAATATCAAAAACTGCATGAGGATTTTCCAGCCATGCAACATCAGCTGAAGTGTGTGGTGATTTATCTGACAACTAACAATCAAACAGTATCATTAGCAACACAAACCCCACTTAAAATTAAAAAACAAAACACTAGAGAAAATAGTTTGCATTAGTTTTATTTATTATGAATCAATGTTTTAGTGGGGAAAACATAACACGTAATAGAACAACATACATCTATATCCGTAAGCGATGGACCCAGCTTGTCAGCTACCGCAGCAAGATGTTCCTTTGCGTCCTGGAAGAAATAAAGTTCGTTATCTATAATGAAGTAGTTAAGCCAAGCATCAAACTAACAACTTATGTAGATAGTGCAAGCCAAATTAGTATGTTATATCCTACAAGGGTTTTATCAAGTTATGGAAGAAATAAGAGAAATCATGCGGGTTTTCAAGAGCAACAAAGTCCTTCAAGTCCAAAGGAACCCAACCTCGTATAATTATCATATCATTTAGTCCTAGAGTTTCCATATTTAATTCGATGCCATCAGTTTTTTTATTTGTTAGTTTAAATTTTCAATGGGGTGTTAAATTAGTGCTTTCGATTTCTAGAATGGGATTTTCTTGGGTTCACTAGTCTTATTTTGACCCTAATTTAATTGAACCATCTCTCCTATGGGATTTGTTTTATATGGCTTTAGTATCACGATTGAACTATTTCTCCAAACTTGTAAGAGACTCATTCAACATTGACTAGAACTTAGTAGAGTCGAATTTGATGGGAGTTTCAAGAACAACAAATGAGTTTAGAAAATATGTAATTGAGTGATTGGTTATTCTCTGTAAGGACTTCTCCATACAGCATGTACTTTATTCTAAACACAAATAGAAATAGTTCACTGCAGCATCAAGATTCTTCTGTTACATAACTCTATTTAGGTCCAAAATCCAAATTAATAAACATAGTCCTAATTGATCCTTAAACACTAAACATAAGTGTTACACTTTCCTTCCTCACATCAGCTTCATTTTATCCTAAGCCCTCGTCCAAGCCCAGCTCCACCAAAAAAGTGAAGTGATAAACATTCCCAAACCCATCAAGAACGTGAGATTCCATCGACTAATTTACATAAAAAGTAAGCAAATGACGAGCTTTGAACGGCGTAATAAACAGCCTCAACAGTATAGAAATGTGCTGTTTAAGTTCACGCCTAAATTACCAAGAATTTAAGCTCCAAGAAGAAAAGGGGATAAATTATAATAGAAAACTCGCCTCGTCAAGATAATCGGCATCAAGATCACCAGAGTTATCGACATTTCCAAACATAAAACCCAGGAGCAGATTTATCATATTTGTTTTCTTAAAAGACTATTAGACTATCCTCTCTTTTTTTTTACATATAATACATGTTAGAGATAAATATTAAATTTATACATGAACCTTAATATAATGTGTAATTTGATGCATGAACTTCAATAGGTTGTAACTATATCAATTTGTTTTCACATTATACATCTTTAAAGAAATAAATATGTCAATTTATTTTCACATTGTATGAATATAAATATTTGTAAATACCAATAATATATGGATTTGAGAGAGATCAAACTCAAGACATGAAAAAAGTCGATGCTTAATAACTAAAGCAAGCTGTGTGTATGGCATATAAACACCAATCAATTATTAACTTAAAACATAGCAGGGCAAATGTTAAAAAGTGCATAAGTTTCCCTTTATTCTTTAGCAGGTCTCTTAAAAGAAACCTTGTAGTAGTAAATTTATTCAAAAGCTACAACAACAGGATCTGTAGCCTTCTATTTCCCCTACGTAAAGCTGAAAGTAACTCAAAAACTCTAACAAGACAGATTGGGTCCAGGATCGACACCGAATCTTTTACAATAATCGGTGTAAAACCGAATTCGACGTCGAACCCTCTGTTGTGCTTGTCCACCAGCCCCACATTCAAGTGGGCCATTGATGGCTTTGATCGTGGCTCCGAACCCTTGGCCGATGACTGGACGAACCGCGTTCATCCAGTACCATAACGAAGCCTTAAACGAGACAACAGGGTCTTTGGCCACTATTTCAGGGTTTTTCAATAAGTTCAGCTTGAGAGCATTCCCTGCTTTCCCGTAGTTAATGTTCCCTGTAAGCTGAATCGGTCCTCGTCCATAGTAGAACTTCTCTTGAGCACATGGAAACTCTGAATTTATTTCACAGTATTTATTTGTCTTTGTTTTCTCTTCGATAAAGCAGAAGTCTGCAAAAATATAAATATATACAAATAGAACAGAATTAGAAGTTGCAGATAAGTGTCGGATATAGATATTGTGACACAGGTATGATAACTTTCACTAAATCGAATCAAAGTCTTCGTAACATGTAGTGATGTCACGAAGGAGTGACTTGGACATTATAGAGAGTCCATAAGCCCAATCTTCAATCTCTTTTATTGCAAGCCTAAAATCACCCTTATAATACATCATCGACCCAAGACTTTAATGAGAGACGAGTTGATAAAATTTTAAATGGGAGGCGAAAATAAATTTTTAATATAAAATACAAAAAATATTTAAAATATATAAAATATATAAAAAATTAAAATTATCATATAATTTATATATTTTTATATTTTTATTGATAATCAAATTTTATAAATTTACTCATAATATAAAATTTTAAGTCAATCCTTAATTATGAGTTTTTAAATGGGAGACGAAAATAAATTTTTAATAGAAAAGATCAAAAATATCTAAAATATATAATAATTTAAAATTATCATATAATTTATATATATTTTTATACTTTTTATTGATAATCAACTTTTATTTTTATAAATTTTATAAATTTACTCATAATATAAAATTTTAGGTCAATCCTTAATTATGAGTGCAACTGAGAAAAATGAAGAGTTGAGCAACATATGCCAAAGAAAAAACAGCTTACATTCGGTCTCATGGGTGGCATGGGCGAAAAAGGCAGCAATCTCGCGCTTGGACTCCACATCAGAACCCAGTTTTCCGAAACCAGGAAATGAATTGAGCGCAGTCAGGAAAGCTTGTCGCGTGTAGAATCTCTTCCCGACACAATTTGCAGGAGCTTGGTTGATTATGCTGTCGAAGAATTTGGGTGAAACAACGGTGGCAACTGAAACACCGGTGGCGGTGGGAGATTTAGAGAAACAAGGGCCTTCTTTGCATCCGGTGCCACAATAGTCTTTGCCACGACCGCAATAACCATATTGGCTGCAACACTGGTCTGGTGCACAACCACAGTTTTGAGCCGAAACAGTTTGGGTCACTGCTAGAATGCCGAGAAGAACAAATGTTAGAAGCTCCATTTTCGAAGGATGAGTGCAGCAGAGAAGTTGAGGCATTTACTTATTTATAAAGGTGGTAGGGTAATGTTTTTCCTTGATCGTGTTGACTACGGGACTATCATATTCGGACTTTAGTGTTGCTATCGTCTTATAAAAAAGGGTAAATTTAATGTTTAGAACCTAAATTATTTTTTTATACTGTTTTGGTAAATAAACTTTATTTTTTTAAAATCATACTTAATATTTAGTTTATGTTTCATTTTGATACTTTACCGTTAAAAAAATAACATAATTATTGATGTAGCATTTTGTATTTTTTTCCAATGATGAAACGACATTATCTTATGGTATATGTCAATATTACAGATAAATTTTTAACGGTAAGATATCAAAATGAAACATAAACTAAATATTAAATATTATTTAAAAAAATAAAGTCTAGATACGAAAATGAAACAAATAACAGTTTATATATTTTTATCTTATAAAAAATTAGTCATTTAATGGGGCTCATAATTTGCTATGTAAAACTATTACTCTTGAAATGAATTTCAGATTGTAGAATATTTCTTATTCTCGTTTTTCGTTTTTTTATATATTAAATATATTATTAAAATTTAAATATATGAGATAAGTTATAAATTAAAAATGTCAATGAGTGTTGTTACAAATGGTTGAGATTCAGGAATTTGAGCTTGTAAGGTCAAGTTCAAATTTTACCACTGTCACTCTTAATAGGCAATTTGTAAATTCATATGTAAATCTCAATTGAGTTTTAGGCATACATTGGCTTTGGATTAGGGGAGCCACCCCTTATCTACACTTTTATGTACCAAAAAATTATAAATTAAAAATATTTTTAAAAAGATATATTATACATAATATATACATATAATATATAGTTATATCATCAACACTTATACAAAAGTATTCATACTAGATTAGTTGAAACTTACATTTTTTATATCTAAATATAATTAAGACATTAATACACACATCAAATCATAATTCGATAATTCTAATAACTATTCATAAACTCATAAACATCGTATAATAAACTAATATATAAATCGATTATTAATAATTATATGAAATATGATTAGATTTGATTTAACAATCTCATTTGGTTTGAAGTTAATACACATAAATTTGAGAGCACAATATAATTTTTTCTTTCAAATAAAAATATAAAAATAGATTTAAGTAAGATAATTTTTTTATTAAACTAGAGTGATTACAAAGTAATATTTTTTTAAATACTTTTGGTTTGACAATGAACACCCAATTAACCTTGTAGTATTTATTGCTCGAACCTATGACCTCTAAGAAGAACAATGATTCATTTAACCGTTGATGTAAGTTGATTCGTGCTTAAGTAAGATAATTTTGATTTAGGTGTTAATGTTTAAATCTAATAAAGCTTTAATTAACTTTAGAATTAATGATTATGTAACTTATTTTTAATTTTTTTACTTGATCTCTTCTCGATATGATATGATTTTTCATATTCTAAATATATGAAAACTTTTCAAAACTTTAAAGATAATTTTGAATGTTTATTGGAAAAGAAATCAATTGAGACATATAGGAGTTATTTATGTCAATTTATTTGTCAAATTTTCACAAAATTTTGAGTTATAAAATATTATGTCGATTTGAACTTGAAAAATAATTTGTGTAGTGAGGTTGATTAAAAAATTGAGTTTTTATTTGATATAATATGATTTTTATATTTTCTAAATATATGGAAACTTTTTTAATTTTTTAAAGATTATTTTGAATTTTTATTGGAAAAGAAATCATTTCAGGCTTATAGGAGTTATTTATGCCAATTTATTTATCAAATTTTCATAAAAAATTGAGTTACAAAATATCATTTCGATTTGAACTTGAAAAATGAATTGTGTATTGGGGTTGATTCAAAAAATTAAATAAATTTAAAATTATTTTTCAATTTTTTAAAATAAAATTCAATTTTTTAAAATAAATTCAATTTTATTAATCTCTAATTCAAACTCATAATCTATAAATAGTTGAAATGACAAGAACACCGACAAAATGAAAAATGTCTCTTCTCTACTTCAATAAACTTGACTTGTCACAAAAGAGACTACTCATGTAGACTATAAACAGTTGAAATGACAATAATACTAACAAAATGAAAACTCATGTGTTGTTTCTTTCTTTGTGATTGTCTCTTCTCTACTTCAATAGTAACTTGACTTGTCACAAAAGAGACTACTCATGTAGACTTACGTGATGAGGATCATCTTCAATATTCTCTACTTCAATATTCGCATTGCGATAGTCGAAGTTTACGTTGTGATAGTCTAAATTCGCATTGCGATAGTCGACTATCGCATTGCAATTTACATATCCGCATTGCGATAGTCCAAGTTCGCATTGCGATTTATTCTAAATTCGTTGCGATAGTCCAAAATCGCAACGACTGGTGGTATTGCATTTGTTTCTTAAGAATTTTCTCTAAAAAGATAGTATTCGCGCGGACGTGTCGAAGACACGTATTACCACGACCACGCAACGCGAACTTCGACTATCGCAATGCGAACTTGAACTATCGCAACGCGAACTTCGACTATCGCATTGCGATTTACATATTCGCATTGCGATAGTCCAAATTCGCATTGCGATAGTCCAAGTTCGCATTGCGATAGTCGAAGTTCGCGTTGCGAATCTGGAAACTGATTTGCGATACCGAAGATCGCGTTGCGAATTATCGATCCCATTGCGATTTAGTTGGTCATTTTGACAAATCCAAAAAAAATTAGTTAAAATCGTATATTATAAGACATTTTTAGTCAATGAGATTATTTTCTCTTTCTAAAATATAATTTGGTTAACGTAAAGTTAAAAAACTGATTGTAGTCGAAAATTTTATCGAAAGTGCATTTTTTTAAACTAAAATATATTCGATTATACATATTAAATCCCATCCAATATAATTTTAAATTAATAAACAAAAAACATTACAAATTTATATAATTTTTTAATTTAAATATAATAATAATTTATATTAAAATCATCTTAAATTAATCTTAAATTAGTGATAATGGTATATGACAGTTTCCTCGCACGTTGCACCATGTTTGGAACAAAAACAACGCAACTTTAACTAACATCAATGAAATTTCAAAACTTCCTTCCGGCACGCAATTATCCTTGAACCGTTAGTATCTGTCCGAACAAACCGGAAAGACGGTCAATGGGGATATGTATGTAGACACTTCGAAGCAAATCATCTTTGAAAATACAAACTTTAACAGCTCCGAATTAGGGATGGACTTAAAAATTAGATAAATAGTCTACTATTAAGGAGAGTACTTTGAACAACTACATAGAGTTTTTTTTATAAAATTTTAAATTTTAAAATTTTACTTTTTATCTTTATAATTGAGACCCTTATTTTTTTAATTGTATTTTTTAATAATTGAGACTTTTAATTTTTGTAATTTTATTTTTTACATTTATAATATAATGCCCTAATTTTTTTCATTCCGACTTTTAACATTTATAATTAAGGCCCCTAAATTTTTCAACCTTACTTTTTACTTTTATATTTTAGGACCTTAATTTCATTAATTTTTTAAAATTTATTAATGTAATATTAAATTAATTGTTCAAAGTAATATAATATACTTTTTATTTTATAAAAGCATAATTTTTTAGTTTCGTTCAGAACCCCAAAAATATCCGAGATAACTCTGAGTGGATGGGACATTCGTCCACATAATTTTTTTAAATTAATATTTTTTTTATATTTTTAATTGATAACTAGTTTATTTCCCTTAAAATTTTATATGTTTTCTCTCTCAAAGTTTTAGAAATTCGTACCTTAATCTAAAATCATGCATATGTTCATGCTCGGAAAGAATTTGTTGGCAATGTTTGAGTTCATCAAATCATCCATTGATTTATGACAGTATTCGTCTAATCATCCTTTGATTTTTATTATTCGAGCTTGACCGATATATAAAATGAAATAAATTATAACTCTCATCATATAATTTTCTTTTTCTTTTTATTTTGATTACTAAAATTTAAATTTATTTAATTTAACCATTAAATTTTAAATTACTCTTATTTTAATCATTCGGTCGTTTATCCCTTTAACTATCTGTTGACTTGATTTTCTAGCCATATAAGTATCATCTTAGATTTAGATCACTACTACCCATGGTATGTAATCGCACCAATCATTGTCATCAAAGACCGATAGAACCTAATTTTTTTAAATCACTCTATTCCAATTTTTTGAGTTCGAATTCGACTTCTATTTCATCTTAATTTCAAGTATAGTTTAACTCACACAACCCAATTCACTATCATCTCCAACATCAACCACCATCTCCTCCTTTGAAACGCCACATACAAATTGACATCATACACATTCATTAAACGGATCCAAAATAATATTGATTTGGTGTAAACTTAACTTTTCGTTTTGATATTGAATTTCATGTTCTAATGTTGTTAAAGTGACTAAAACAAAAATAATTTAAAAGTTAAATGATTAAATTGAAAAATTTACTCTCCAATGAACAATTCAAAATTTTTTAAACATGACGGGTATATTAATTTTTTAAAATTTTATAAGAAAACTTAAAAATAATAATAATAAGCCTAAAATATTTCTAAAGTCTAAAAAACACCTTAAAATGTCTAATATCAAACTCTCCATTATCATTGTCGTTTGGTGTCATGACCGAATGACCATCCACTAATTATTGTTAAGTCATTGATCAACCATCATTTTATCTTCACACAAATCCTTAAATCCCTAAAGTTATAAACTTAATTTCATAAATTCTTAAATCCTTAAAATTTTCGTTGCATAAATCTTTAATCGTCACCGACAGTAAAATCGATTACAAACACCGACAGTTTAGATCTCGTCGACAGGAAGAATCTGCAATGATGTAAATCAACCGCAAACAAACATCGACCACCAAAGTTAAAATTTTGCCAATTACTGCTCTCGTTAATTCCCCAAAGTTAAGATCAACGATAGATGAAATGGGCCAATAAGCTTAAACGTTTGGGCTTTTCTTTTTGGGTGTCCGTTATCTCTTTCGTACCCTCTGTTTATCTCTTCCCCAATTCGCCACTTCCTTCACTTTCGGAGTCTCCACCAACAGACGGCAGCCTCGTCGCTTCAAAGGTAAATCACTCCTATCTACGGCCCTTCCTTGTGTTTCACTTTCTCCATTTTAAACCTTTAGTTCCGGTGCTATCCCTTTTTCTCTTGATCACTTGGCTTTGGATTTTTTTTGCTATTATATTTGTTTGGGTTGAATAAACTGAATTTTTTGAGTTTATTTTTTTTCTATTTTGATTTGGGATTTGGTTTCCTTTTTCAGCTTTTTTGTAGTGAAATATCAATTTCCTTTCAAAGTCCTTTTTTATCCTCTTCCGCTTTTCTTCACACTTGTTTGGTCTTCAAGAATCTTTGTCTTCTATGTAATTTTCATATTTCCCAGTTCTGAGCTTTACCTAGGTTTTTGTTTTTTTATGATTAAATACAGAAACTTCAATTTCAGTTGCGATCTGAAACGGTACCGAGGTGTGCTTGTGTGGATTCCTTTCTCTCTTTTTTTACTAAGGGTGTGATTCATTTGTTTTATCTGTATTGCTATTTAGAAGAAATGGATTAAGCACTTAATTAGTTGATAATTTGTTTACTTTGAAAATGCAGATGGCATTGCGAGGAGTTTGGCAACTTAAAAAGCTGATTGTAAGCTATAGTGATTGGGGAGGGAGTAGTAGGGGCATCAGGTATGATTTTAACCTTTTTTGAAATGTTCTCCAGAATTTCTGTGCGTTGTAATGTGTTGTTCTGGTCTTTGTTTGTTCGATAAAGCCGGCACCTTTTTGTTAAATGTGTTCTTGATCTTTTGGCGAAAATTTGCATTCCAAATTTAGGCATCATTCATGTTTATGCTGTTGAGACTAATATCTATGTATAAATTTAAATATTAAAAAAGAATTTCTGAATATGCTAAGACATGCTAATTTCCGAATTATGAATGGATCAGCTTCCACATCGTTATCTTATGCCAACATTCAGCGTTGTGTCACTTCATCTGTGAATAATGTTATAGTTGAAATTATCAATGATTTGAATCTAGTAGTTAAATATATATTCACCAAAATCGTGGGCTACCGAAGATTAAGCAAGATATCATTGATGATGATGGATTTCGTCACAAGGCAAACTGCTTTCTTTAATATTTGGATAAGTACGTTTGAAAACTTAGCACTTTGGATTATATTAGGGTACTCAAGTTGTCTCCGCATGCATATGCACAAATAATTATCACCTCCCAATGAATGATGGTGAAAGAAGTATTTTGGGAGCAAGAGAAATACAGAAGCACTTTTCCCACACTTTTCTTTTGTCTTGTGACTGAGGCTATTCCGGGCCTTGCTGAAGAGGGAAATGACTTTAGAAATTCTTGAAAACAATATGTTGTGGGGATGGTAAGATCTAACAGACTGCATTTGCTAGTAGTTACTACATGAATAAGTTTCCTAACGCCCAATGATACAATACTGGGATGCTTTTTCAAGTAATGTAAATGACTAGGCCATGGGATTGTTTGTCTAAAATTTGATTTCGGTTTTCAACTTATATACCATTGGTAGTCTCAAGTTCAACCGTTATGATTAATAATAACGAGAAGCATGTACATATATGGATTCTCCTTTAAATGGATGCATAATTCTTGAAATTCACTCTCAATTTCATGCTAATTTTGACAATATTATTCCAGGGCATTTATGCAGTCAGATTTGCCTACTTTTAAAGAGAAAAACCCTCAGCTAGAGGTGGTTACTGAACTCATTCGTGGACAGCATCCTCATTTGAAGGGCTTTTACAGTAAGTTACTCTTTACTGGACATAATGTCATACATTATGATGCATGCATTGTTCTTAATATCTCCGATATCACTTGAGCCGTTTAAAAACATCTCTCTTGCTAATTTCTCAGAGAACAAAAACGAGCGGGTGGTATGCGTGAAGAACATGACTCCTGAAGATATCCTTCTTCATGCAACTAGGCTAAGAAACGCTTTGGGAAGAAAGGTGGTGAAATTGAAAACAAGGCATGTAACTAAACACCCTAGTGTGCAAGGTACATGGACAACTGATGTGAATTTTGAGACGCAACAGTGCTTTCTTTGTTCTATTTGGTCATGATTGATGGAAACTATGCTAAAAGCATTCCTTCTTTGGAGATCATGAAATTGGCTGTGTTATGGACAAAGCTTAATATTATTTGAATCTTTTTGAGTATGAATTGGAAACTCGTCTCTACTTGTGTTATGCATTTGAAAGTATGGTAGTAGTAAAGATGATTGGACCTAAATATTTACTGAATTTTTAACTGTTAATATTTTTAGACTGCTCAACTACTGGCCTCATAAAAGGGATTCCTCAGAATACCCTTGTTTAAAAAAATTAATTAAAAAAATGGAATTAAGGCTTTTAACACCATGTTTGCTAGGAAGGGAAAGGAGGGGTTAGGGTTGTTTCTAATGCGGAAGAAAACATTTTTTAAATTAGGGCTAACTATTAGTTTGGTACATCTATTCTACTGAATTTTTTAGTCTCATATATATTGTTTTTCATTTTAATTGGTATAATGATAAAATTGATATTGATCTTTTTAAAGCCTTTAGGGCTATCGAACATAGGAGCGGGGAGGAACTGCATGGACTCTCTACGAAGGTTAGAAGTGGCTGTAGGGATCGTTCTACGCCTTGATATGGGAGATTAAATAATTTTACAAGGCAGAATTATCTTTAAAAAATTTAAATTGAAAATATATTATGTTAAAAATTAAATTATTTGAAAATTAAATATTCCAGCATCTAAAAACTAGTACATACTTGTATATTTGTTCAAAGAAGCCCTATATTTCTATTTCAAGTTTAAAAATAAATAAATTATCTGAAGTAGAAGAATTGTGACCATTTCCTAAATTTGAAAAATAATTTTTTATATAAAATTTGTATACATTTTTGTCTAACATATCTAATTATTTAACGAACAAATATTCCAATGTTTATAGATGACAATATAATTCATTAAACATCTGTTAGTGGATGTCTAAAGGAACTTTTAGATAAAACAAGGGAACTGGCTTAGTTTATAATGGAAAAGGGTCTGCAAATCCAAGAAAAACAACAGATTTTAGCAAGAAAAATTATGCGAAAAGAAGTTACTAAAAGCAAATCCTAAACCCTATATAAGCTAAAACAGATGACCGAACCATTCATCTAACAGGTTAATTCTTTTGACACAAACAACACTAGACAAGGTAGGTTTAAGCAGCAGCCTGGGCAGCAAGCCTCTTCCTTGCTTCCTCAATGATCGACAACTTGATACCCTTGCCCTTAGGAAGGGAAACCCATGGCTTTGTTCCTTTACCAATTGTGAAGACGTTACCTAGACGAGTTGCAAACTCGTGCCCAGCTGCATCTTGCACGTGGATCGTCTCAAAGCTACCCTTATGCTTCTCCCTGTTCTTAATCACTCCAACACGTCCCCTGTTCCTTCCTCCAGTGACCATGACAACATTCCCGACATCAAACTTAATGAAGTCAACAATTTTGTTGCTCTCCAAGTCAAGCTTGATGGTATCGTTGGCCTTGATCAAAGGGTCAGGGTAGCGAATGGTGCGTCCATCGTAGGCATTGAGGTATGGAATACCCTTCTGGCCAATTGGACAGACCTAACTTTGCAGAGCTTAAACTGCAAAGTACAAGATCAACAAAATTAGGTCAATCATTTCTCAGATAATCAATGGTATAAAGAAAATAGATAAGTTGATGAATATTAGAGCATTCTAAGTTTTAACTAGAAATATAAAAACAACAGTCCATACATACAAACCTTGGTCTCATCACCAGTGATGGCATGAAGGCGGAAACGACCTTTAGTGTCATATAGGAGGCGGAAGTCCTCATTTGTCTTGGGAATTGACACAACATCTAGTATTAGAAATAAAGGATGGTTAAGACTCATAAATTTCAGCGAGACTGAAACAAGGTACAGGAAGTAACCCATGAAGTTCAAAACCTAGGATAAAACAGCGATCCACGGACAACAAAATGATTTAAGCTACTAATCAGACTTGAATGTGAATGTTGAATATGGGTATGTTTCTAATATGAGTATCTTTAACTTCACCAATTTTTTACATGATCATGGAGGATCATATTCCCATACTGACATCCAAAATGCATCAGATGTCGAATACGAGTACTTCAAGGTATGGTATTGAAGACGTGAAGAAATCTTAGACACTAAATTCTAGCTTTTATGAGTTCCTAATAAGATTAAAATACAACTACTTAATCAATACAATGGCAAGTTCTACATACCCATAAACCCTGCAGGGTAGGTCTTATCTGTCCTAAACTTCCCATCTACCATGACATGCCTTTGCATAAGAATAGCAATCACTTCTCTGTATGTTAAAGCATACTGCAATCTGTTTCGCAAAATTAGAATGAGCGGCAAGAACTCCCTCGACTTGTGCGGTCCGGATGATGGCTTCGGGCCTGAATGATCAAATATTAATACTCAGACTCAGAACACAAAGACATCAAACTGGTAAGGAATCCAAAAAAAAAAAGTTAAAGATAACATAAAAATGCACCGCCGAGCTTGTCGAGCATCCAATGCCTAGGGCATTGAGCCTCTTCAAGTGTTTTCTTCAACCCTCTAGCCTGTAGAAATAAATTTTAATCAAAGACAAATATTTAGAGTTTAAAGCACGAGAATTTCCACATTGAAAATATATTTTGATCCAAATTTAACACAAAGGACAATTCATACATTCAAAAAAACGCAATCATTGATAATATTACAATAAGGAAAATATAAACATTTGATCTAACAATCACATTTCAGCAACTAAATTTATATTTCTCCATCACATATAAAAAAATAGAAGTATAAAGCTGGTACTGGTATCTCCATCCAACAGTCAGATATTAACTAGACATCTAAAACAACAATTCTGTGAACAATTCAAGAATACCCAGCAGCCAAAATCACAATTAAATGGCTGTCCCTTTTTCCCATATGTATAGGGGTAAGGGAAGGTAAGATAGTAGACTACCACCCACTCGATCCCACGATTAAGAACCTTGTGCTCTATCAAGTTTTTTTTTTTCATTTTTATACGAAGAATTGCTACACAAAATGCAGTTTAATGTGATTCAACAACTCGTCAAACAAATATTAAATGAAAATTGAAATATAAGAACAATCAGAACAAATCCAAGGTATGAAATGAAATTCAAAAGCGAGGAAGAAACTAACTGGAAGCGGCAAACCCTACTTTTGTTTTATTATATTGACCTTTTAGGGTTAAAACCGACTTGGATTTCACGGGTCGGTCCAAATTTTTTATAAATAGGTTAATTTCGAAAATTTCTCTTATACTTTGCTAAATTTTCTAATGTGGTACTTATACTTTCTAATTGTTCAATGTACCCATGCACTTTGCTTCAGTGTTCTAAAATTATCTCTCAAAATTAACATCGTTAACTAATGGTGTATAGGGACACACGACAGTCTCTTATGTTATCACGAGACACTATTTTATAGAAAGATCACTTAAAGTCAATAAACTTTGAAATAATTTTATGGATAATTATAAGATTGCTAATTTTCGTTTAAGTTTGTATATTTTTCTTTTAAAAAACATTTTATTTTTATTTTATTTTATTAAGACATGACTACTGATGATTAATTTTAAAGCGATTGTTATTTTTTCCCTTTTCTTTCTGGTCTATTTGCTGATATATATATATTTAATTTCTGTGGTTCTCAATCCATATTGGCACAGGAGCTGCACTCACCCAGGGGACTATTGAAAAGGATCCCCTAAATGCTTCATTCCCTGAATTACATTCAGTGGATTCTACTGATGCTGTAAAAGTAAGGGACTTCATATGGATGGATTTTTGTACTGTTAGAATCATGTTTTCTTAGTGACACATGCTCTCAATTTATGACTAGGAATTGGGACTACACCACAGCCGTTACCATCATCTGCTGTCGACGACCGCCTTGGAAATAGCATCTCGGAAGCTTCATCGACTGCTTCTTCTTGTGCTGATGGAGTTTCGTATCGGTTTATATCATTCTCAAACATGTATCGTAAAATGATCTCGACCAATTTATTACTTTTGAAATTTATGTGGGAAAAATAAAAATTTACTCAAATATAGTGATTATTTGTGTATTTGACTCTTTTAGATTTATATACTCATTCTGCCAAGTCAGCTGTCCGATAAAAAACTAACTGCAACTAGTCCACAGTGACCACATATTAATTGAACAAAACAAAAGTGATAAATCATGTAGTTTACTTTAATTTTATTTTAATTTTTTCATGACAAATAATTTTGAAAATATTATTTCAAATTTGGTGAATGGACTTTAAAATTATTAAACCACTTTTAAGGGATTAAAAAATCATTTATCCAAAATTTAGTATCCACCAATTTTTCAAAAGTTAAAATAAAAAACCTTTAAAAACTAAAAATGAAAATTATATTCGAACAAAAATAACTACCGAAATCCAAAATAACAACAGTTGTATTTCAAAAAACTTTAAACTACAAATCTCCTTTCACCAATGAGCTGCCAACACATTTCCTTATTTATGCCCAAACATTCACAATATTAGGAAAAATTATTAGATAGATCTGATTTGCTAGGTCATTCGGATACCTTACCAAAAATATTTTATTTATTCTTTTTTGAAGTGAGATTTTACATCTTTTCTTATTTTACGATATCGTTATGAGTTAAATCTATCAAATAATTTATCTAACATTAAATCTAAAATTCTTTTTTATTAAGGCACTTACAAACTTTTAAAAGATAAACAACCGTCAATTTCATCATGGATTTGTTCACACACTCGATTTCCTCTAAAGTCACTAATAAAATAATATAAAAGTTCTATCAAATCTAATTAGAATGTAGTATTTCTTATCCAAATTTAATCATAAATTGCATTGGATAGATCACATTAAATGTTCGTAATTAAATCAGAATTAAAATAAAGTTAAACCAAATTATTAAACAAGTATTAATTTAGGGACTAAATTATCAACCACGTTTAAAATACAGGTTCCATATTGATTAAAATTATCAAAAGGGTTTAAACCAACAATAACTTAGAGAAGATGGGTATGTTTATGTTACAGATATTTTATATAGAAAGATCAAATCTTAATCTTAAAAGTAAAATCACTTAAATGAGTGATTAAAAGATAAAATGATTCCATGAAAATAAATGGAAGAAAAGTTTGAACGAGAACATGGATCCACTAGTCATAAGAAAATCATTTTAAAACCAACTACGTGATGCGTATTAATTATTTACCATTAAACAATGTTGGGTTGCCTCTTTTCTCTTTATACAAACAAACCAAGCAATCCCGTTATCATATAATTAAGTATTTCCTCGTCTCTAATATCTAAAGGAAAAAACAAAACAAAAATACCACGGCGTTGATTCTGTGGGATCACCGACCCACCGTATAAAACCACCGTCTCAGCGCAACTGTCCGCCACGTTGGGCGGACAACAACCTTAGCCGGCCATTTCCCAGCTTACCGGCTTCCTATTGGCTCGAAACCCTCGACCTGGACCTCCTGTACGACTTGTGTAATTTATTGTAAAGAGAATCGAGAACCTGCCACGTAGCGTCCCCTTCTTGCATATGCTCATTGAATAACAGGGCTTTGCTGACTGACGGGTCCCATAAGTTCCTTTGTATGGTCGACAAATTGGTTCTCGCCACGCCGTCCAGGATCGTCCCTAACTTCCCACGTCCCTTTCCGCCACCCTGAGTGAAATTTCCGGCCACCTCACTACGGAGGCGAAAGGCAATCGTATTCCGTCTGCTATAATTACCGGCACGCACCCCAAAGCCACGGACTCAACGAGCCTTGGACTCCATGGCGCCCATCCCAGTGGACACAAACAAAACACCGACCTTACTATTTCCGACTGGTAACCTGCGTATCTTTGTCTTTGCAAGTAAAACCGCCGGTCTCCGTTATATCTCCGCCAGATTTCCGTCCTCACCTTCCTGATTGATGCCAAAACACAGCATTCATCATGTTATAATGATTAAAGCTTAACATTGAGCATGATTGATTGAGACTTTGATTTCCGGACTTACTTGCTATAAAATTTCCCACTAACGTTTTTGGGGTGCACCTCCATTTTCCCCCTGAAAAACACCATGATGTCTCGATTCCCGGTCAGCGGGAATTTCTCCAGGGTGTTCCGTACACTTTCCGGCGGGATATAAGGCGGTATAATAACATTTTCAACGTCCTGACAAGGGTGCTTGTAATCAACCCCGAATGTTTGTAGTATTATCGATTTCTTCAAGAACTCCGGGATCCCATCATCAATAGCTCTATCCTCCTTCAGAGAGATCGAAAAACTGGAATCAAAAACCACTCTTAAAGGATCCTTTTTTGAGAAATCATTACTGCTTTACGTACCATGGCGTGGAAGCATGCTCCATAATCGTGGGAGGCAACGAAGATGTGGTCGGATCCTTGGGAGCGGTTCCAGAAAGGGTAGTCGGAGGAGATGAGTTGAATAGCGGAAGATATAAGAGATCGAGCGTGGCCAATGGCAGGGAAGCCATTAACGGTGCTGAAGTTGCATGACACATAGACAGGGACGAAGAAGAAATCAGCTTCGTAAGGGTCGAAGGTTCTCAACTCGTAGGTGTTCATCAAGGCTCGATGAATGGCTACCTCGGAGGCAAACAAGTGGTTGCTGCATCGCTTGTTCGAAAGCCAATCCTCGTTGTACTCCGATGTTAATTCGTAGACGTATATCTTCAAGTCTTTAAACGAAGCTGTCATATGAACAAACAAAAACAGTAAAAAAAAAACTTCGCTTTTTCAGTAAGAAGAATGGAGAACCATAGATGAAGAAGACGAACCAGGATTTATGGGTTTGGGTTTTGATTTATGACGAGTTTTGTTGGCAGATTCAAACAGGACACGAGAAGCAACGGAAGGTTTGGAACCAGAAACACGGGCTTTTGATAAAGGGATAGGCTTGTTTGTAATGAAGAAAGATGCGAGGAAATAGAGGGTAAAAGAAAACCAAAGAAGCCATTTGTAATACTTGAAAAAGAGGCTTTTATCAGATTGTCTGCCTTTGTGTAATATCCTCATCTCCTTCTGTGTTTCTTTCTGGGTTTTTGCAGCTCCAAACCCATCTTATTTAAAAAGATGTTCCTTTTTCAATGGTGGAAGATCAAAGGACTTAGCTTTAGCTTCAACTTAAGGCTAGAGCAGTTCAAATGGGGCTTTCGGTTTCTGGTTTTGGACGATGAATTGGAAATTAAGAAACAGCGATTTGAAGATGAAGACATGTTGGTTGGCATTTCGGTTTTGCACCAAAAATATTCAAACAAATATTCTTAAAAAAACAAAGGGATAAAGATAATATTACCCACAAATACTATATAAATATTATTTTGACTCTTATATCTTCTTTAAAGTATTTATACAAACGATAAAATATAATTTTATCATTGTACCAAAAACAAAATGGGACAACTTTACTTACATCATTATTACATAATACATGTTTTGGCTGAACAAGTACCGTGGTTTTCAACCAAACAAGACACAATGTTTAATTATCTTTGTCACCTCAATTAATCCAATGCTTAATCAGAAGCTTATTGTTAACCAGATATATCATCATTCTATTTTACCGAAAAGTACTACCAAATTATCACCTAAACAGTGGTTCGATAAGGCTATTTGTGTCATTAACAAATCCTAACGGGACCAAAAACAGAACATGGAATGGAAACCGAGACCTACGCCAGCTTCTTTCGATCATAAAAAAACAATAAAAAAAAAGGAAGAACGAGACGTACGCCGAGTTCCACTCTGCAAATAAATGATGTTCTACTACCATACCATGTGACCTCTCTGAATATATCTCTCTTTCCAAAAAGATAGTTTGTTTCAAGATTTTTTTTCATTGATGAAAGCTGAATCTAACTCAACATGGGTAAAAGCATTGTACCACTCCTATACTATATATTGTATTTTATTTACATAAAAACAAAGTGTTCATTCAATTAAATTTTGGGTAAAGTACACAAATGGTCCCTCAACTATTAAAAGTTATGGAATGATCATTCGTCTATAGGGCATTATTTTATTGAGTCTCTCGACTATCAAAAATTCTAAAATGGTAACCGACTATTCATATATCACAGTCAACATGTTAACATCCAGCTCAGACTGTCATCAATTTTTTAATAAAAATGATGAATTTAAAACATATAAAGGGTCGGATGATCATTTTGTAACTTTTAATAATCAGAGGACTCAACAAAGTAACGTCCTATAGTCGAGGAACCATTTGTATACTTTACCCTTAAGATTTTTTTATATGTGATTACATGACATTTTATAAAATATACAAATCTTAATAACATTTTTGTACTATCAAACTTTTCCAAAACAATCAATGTGATCTTGAATAGGTTTGTAGACAAAAAGAACGAACATGAATGAAGATATGTTCATATTCATTCGTTTAACTTTAGCTGAACAAACGAATGAACATGAATAATTAGATGAACAAAATTTATTGTTCGTGTTTGTTCGTTAAAGAATGTAGTTTGTTCATGTTTAATCGTTAAAATGAGAAACAAACACAAACGAACGAAGGCAAACGAACACAAATAAACGAGCGTAAGCGAACATTAACGAACTAGCATAAAATTAATTGGGTTTGTATTCGAGAAAAGATTTTTTTTCTTTCCTATAGGGTTTATATTTTCTTTAATTGATTTGAGTATTTTTTTATTTTGGTTTAAAATTAATTGGGTTTTAAAATATTAATGTATTTAAGGTTAACATTTATTAGGTCTTAATATTTTAAACGGATTTAGAGATTGAACTGAATATAAATGAACTGAATATAAATGAACAAACATAAAAAAAACATATTATCGAACGTTCACGAACGTAAATGAAAAAACGAGCCTTTTGTCTGTGTTCGTTTATTCAATTAAACGAACATAAAATCTTGTTTATGTTCGTTCGCTTAATTAATAAAAAAAAACATAAACAAAGTTTCCGCCGAACGGTTTGCTGAACGTTCGGTTCGTTTACAAACCTAATCTTGAACATTTTTTTACTTAATATAGTTCTTAAATTGAGGGGAAAAATAATTTAGTTCTTTATCCAATAGAATCAAACGTCGACCGTTATGATGCTGACGTGGTAGTCCACAATGCTGATGAGGCAGTCCACATTGCTAATGTAGCGATCCAATGTGACGATGACATATGAAATGAGCTAAATTAAATTTTTAACCGACTTCGAGGGTCAAATTGATTTTTTTTTAAATTACTACAAATAAAAAATATTAAATAAATATCATTAATTTTTTTAAAATTAAAAGTATATCACAAGTTATAAACTAATAAATTATAAATTATTTAAAATAAAAATATTTTAAATAAATATATATTTATATATATAACATATAAACACAAAGAGAATTTAATCATATTCATATAGTTGAATTGACATTGTCAATATACTTTTAATTTATATACATATCAATTATCATGAAAGATATCGTACATTTTTATATCAAACATTAATATTTATACAAAACTAATTATATATTACCGAAACTGCACTAGTAACAAACCCAACAATCCAACTAAGAACCAGAGAGATTCCTTTTGTTAGGTCGCATCTTTGTCGCACACCGAAAGAAGTGCATGTTTTTATCTCCCATTTTAATTCAAAAACTTGAGTTAGAAATAGAAGGAAACCTTATTAATATCACTACTAGAGGAATGGTAAATTAATATACAAATGTTAGATAAAAAGCTTTTTCGAGAATTAAAATAATAATAATAAAATCAGCAGGTATTATGAATTGAACGAAGTAAAATAAATATAAAATTAAAATAGAGAAACAGAATTGTTTACTCTTATGTAGATATGGAATTAGATGAACAAATTCATCATCTCATTGGTGCTTTGAGTAACACTTGGTGTCTGGTCTCCGGGGATACAACCCAAAATACATTAGTCCCGTGTACCATACTTAGCCTCTTAATAGTAAATTATTGAAGAAAAAACAAGAGTACAGGTAGAAGAGCAGCATCAAATTAAATTAATGAGGTAAAGATTGAAACCAAAATGAGTGAGATTATGGCAACCTTCACCCAACAAGCAGGTAAACGAATGATTTCAGACAACCCATTAAGCCTGAACAACATTTCCCATTCTTTTCAAAAAGACAGGAGAATTTGAGTGACTTATTACCTAGTAAAATAAAAGTAACAATACATTTCAGCAGCATCATGGAGGTGTTAGGGATTTGTTTGGTCAATTGGTTGGTAATTAATTTGTGGTTTATATCACAAATAAATACTTAAATGTATCATCTTTTTATTTAAATACCTAAAATATTTTTTTGTCAAAATAAATACTTAAAGTATTTAATTTTTCAATCTAAGTACTTAAAGTATTCTTTAATTAATATCACATGTCAATTATTTTAGAACTTAGATAATAAAAAATGAATATTTTAAGTACTTATTTTAATCAAAAAATATTTTAGGTATTTACTTTGACTATTTATTTTGATTAAATAATACTTTAAGTGTTTAGAAAAAATATATATATTTTAAGTATTTACTTGTAATATAAGCCTTAATTTGTAGGTTTGGGGCCTTGGGCAATCCACAATTCCACACCATGATTGGCCTTGGTGTGCGTTTCTCCTACGTTACCATCAAGTAGTTTCTAGACTTGTAGATTGAATTAGTGGGCACACGTGAGATCCTGAATTCACGTACTTTCACTGCGTCTCCCATTTTCTCATGTTTACAAACCATAGCAGATGATGTTTTGATTTAGTTTATTTTTGTAAGAGAAAAATTAGAAAGGTTGATTTGATAGGAGAAATTTAGCGTGTGTTTAACGATTATTTTTTAGTTTGAATAGAGAATTGTAGATAGTGGATTTACAAATATGAAAAGAAACACGAATAGACCAAATATAATGATAAACAGTCGTCATGGATTAAGTTTAAAAAAAATATCCTCTAACTTTATGCTTTTAATGTTGATATCGAGTCTAAAGTGATAATGACTATCTGGTCAAAAGACATAAAATTTCAAAAACTTTTAGAAATTTGAAAAGCTTCAAAAGGTAAAGGAGTAAAAGCTAGAAGAGGTAAAAAAATCATTTTCAATAGAAACTTAGATTCGGACTATAATGAGTGAGAAGGGGTTCCTAAGGTATAGAGTGGAGGAGAAGTGGTTTTGTATGCTTGCAAAGGCAGTGACGATGACTCTCTTTTAAACTAATAGGTTTCATTCGCACATTATTCCTAAACAAATACTACTTTCAAGTGTGAGCTGTCGAATAACATGATAGGCCAAACATATGTGTTGGAAATTGAAAAAATAAAGTGCTAAATTATTGGTAAACCCAACCCTTTTGTCAAATGGGGAAGAAATCTATAAAAGCATGCATGGATATTCCCATGTGCTCTGCTCAAGGGAAGAAACGCTGGAGGCTTCCTAACTTCATTCAAACATGCAACCCATTATGTATCTTCACCTATGCCTATTATCATATACCTTAGAACATTTTTTTTTGTATGAAAAATATTGGTTAAAAACATCGTATCATATATGTGGGTACAGGTGATTCCATAATGCTGTATTTTGTCTGCTCTCGAGAATGTGTTTTCACTCTGTCAGGTCTCAACCTCCTTTCTGGTTTTCCCTTTGTTCCACGGTTGATGATTCAATGGTTTATAGGTAGATAGTGACTCCGGAAATAGGTTATGGTAAGATTTCTTGAACCCATTGTTCGTTTCTTGCTTCAACTTTTAGATCTTAGAGGATAAGATAAGAGTTACTTGACATGATTTTATGATGGGGGAATATATAATATTTTATGGGTGAATTTATAAAGTTTTAGCTGATGAAAATAAATTATCAATAAAATTTTATATATATATATATATATATATAATAGACGAGAATTTAAAATTCTCAGTAAAACAATTGCTCCATCAATAGTTCAGTATTCCTTGATTAATTGTGATTTGCTTGTAAGGACGTTTGTCACTATTGGTGATTCATTTTTTGAAAGGGCAAACTAGTTATTCTTTCGAGTCATTACAAAGTTTATGAATGGTGATCCATATTGATTGTAATAGTTTGTCTTT